GGCTGAGCAATTTTTTCCCTTTCATACCATTGATACCACAATACCAGCAAAACTGTAAACTGAGCACTTTGTTAACCTCCACAGAGAGCAAATACAGCAATCTAGAGTTTAGCCTTTTGTTTAAAGCTGTCCACGTTTGTTTCACACATGTGCAATATGTTTTCCCCTTTCCTGCTCCTTCTCTAAATTATCTTCACAAAAAGAAAATGAGTAATAACATTATTATTTTTAAGTATCACATACTATTCTAAATTCTGCGGCTTACCTTAAGAGGGCTCGTATGGGTCCCCTGAGGCTCTGTTCCTTGCAGTTTTAAAAAAATATACTGTTCTTATAAGGGAAAGTAGAACTGTCTGCATGTCATCTAATGTTATTAGTGTGAGGCTACACTCTACATATTGTATATTTGCAAAATATATCAGTGTTACTGTTGATATTAGTTGAAGTAAAGTGATAACATATTTCAATATGTAGACTTTTCTTCATACATCTGTACCAATAGTAGAGTCTAACTGTAACTTACAGGTTGTTCCAGAAAAGATAAAGAACCATTCAAGTACAAACATCTTTCAGAAACTGCATCTTTTAATTAAAACAGAGGTAAGAATGCTCCTCTTCACTGAGTGACGGAGTCTGTATTTGTTTCAGATGCAGAGTTATACTGTAAGTAAAATTGCCTGTGTATGGAATAAATGCAGAATATGCAGTAGCAGTGGAGAGGAAAATCTGACTAGCTGTGTTAATTAACAGTGAAGATGTTAAATCTCCCAGATCTGCCTTTGCTTTATGTTTACAAACGCCTTTCATTCATTTAAATTAGAGTTACGTATAAATCTCCTAAAAGTACACAGTAAGCCACATTTTAATACTTGACTACTGATTTTCCATGTGCAATCAATTAAATGTTCAGGACATGTCACAAACATGCATGCAAAAAGCCATTTACACATGATTTCATGTACATGTGAGGAAAGAGCTTGTGCCTACCCTCTAGGTGCATTAAGTTGCACGTGTAAAATCACAGACCATTTTGCGGCTGGTTTAAAAACCAAAACTGGTCATACAAGAGCACAGTATTTGTAAACTATTGTTTCAAGCCAATGAGGAGAAATCAGTGGACTCAATTTTTCTTTTTTTTTAGACTCTGTGTTTATATGTACTTTAAACAAACAAAAATGTCTTGGTGTCAGCATAAGTCCTAAGAACTTCGCTGATTGTTTAGGGTTGTAGTATAACCTCTCTGACTCCGTCCTTGATTAACAGTTGCTTAGAGCAGTGTCAATCATGCCTAGAATAGGAAAATGATAGTACTTTAACACTGTGTGTGGTTAAGAAAATTAATTTTTTCAGCCTGCAGGCAGGAGTAGAATTGAGAGGGTTTTTTTCTTAAATGCCATTGCCAATTAAAAACTGGTACAGAACTGCATAAAGTGACCACGTTTCTCTTTCCCCATAAATGATGTGGCAAAGTAGTAATGCTGATTTGAAAAAATGAAAGGAAAACGTAAAGAATTAAGGTGTGGCAACAAAAATCTTTTCTGGGACAACAATCAAATATATATTTGGGGTTTTTATTTTTTTAAGTTAAGAATGAAATGTAAAACAATGTAAAAACAAAAAAACAAAGTTCATCCTAATATAATGTGCGTCTTGTATTGCTAAAAAAAAAAAAAAAGTCTAACATACAGTGTAGAATGATTTTCCCATCATGTACTGCATGCAGCAGAAGCCTCTTGTTTCTTGATAAAATGAGCTGAGAGACAGTCAGCAGATATTTAAACAATGAATCTCTAGATGTTGACTTGCTGTTCCATATGAAGCTGTGTGTTTTCTGCAGTTAAGCATGCATTTTGCTGTTCCGTTGTAAAATACCATCGCACTTCTTGCCTGCAAAATGGATTATTGTGTATATATTTAAAAGAAAAGTGGAACCAATAACAAGATTAAATTTGGAAAAGACAAAAAGGGGTGGTGAAAATGGGACCAGTAGAGGGACTAGATAATTCTCTAAATTGTACATAGTGTGTAAATTAGTATTACTATAAGTCTGCAGTCACTTTGAGGTTGCCTATCTCCTGCTAGGAACTTAAATCAGCTTTGAGTTGTATTAAACTGTTAGAATTAGGTCTTGAATGCAGACTGTTAAAGACTTCAAAAAAACATTATGCTTACAAGAAGCTTCTGTTCTGGGGAGGCTTGAGACCCCTTTTGTAACTATGGGGAAGAAAGGAGTGCTTTCATTTTAATATGCATTCTGTTTGTAAGTAGTAACACCCTATTGATGTAAAACTATAACTGTGATCATGTGGAGAAATCAAATAAATCATTTAAAACTCTTTGTTTCTCATTTTCTGTAATCCAAGAACTTCAACTCTTCAGACTTGAAATGAAGGAAATTCCTTCCAATGGTATCCTGGCCCTGCTGAATCAATTGGATTTCTGCCACTCACTTCAAAGGGGCCAAGATGTCAGTCTTCATCTTAAGTTAAGGAGAAGTTGGTGGAAATGGTGGTCAGTACTGTGGAGACTGTCATCCCTTCTCAATAGGTTTTGATTTGCTTGGTGGTGCTGTTAAATATGTTTAGTTCCAAAGTGTCCTAAAGAGCAATAAATACAACACCTAAATCTGTAAACAATGAGAGGTAATGCTGAAGAGGCTTTTTGGTGTTCTATTTACCAAAACATTCAAATGTTGAAAAACAGAAACCAGATTTTTAATCTTCTTAAACATGAGCTGTCCTGTCCTTGAACATGTTCAAGTGATCCCGTTAATCTTTTGGCTGTCCCGTTGCCTTAGGAGCTCAGGTTCAGATGACTGTGTGCCCTTGACTCATAAGTGTTGGAAGTTTGTCCTTCCCAGGGATGCGGGCCTTCATTCCCTTGTGGAACCTACATGCCGTGGATCGAGTTCTGAGAGCATTCATGGCTTCCGTGTGCCCACCAGCACGGAACCATCGTCTTACTTCAGTAAGTCATGTAACTGAGTATTTTTCCGTGACTACTTGTAGCTGTATGTATTTGTTGTGTGTCTTAATTTATACCACAGAAAGACCATGACACGGGCATATTTGCCACACATGGTCTTCACAACGTTTGATGTTACACTCCTGCAATTACTTTAGGTAACAACCTGTGGCATACTCAGTTGTGTTCTTATTTCTCTGCATTTCCTAGATTTTAAGGGGATTATAGTGTGTCTGTAAAGCCTGTTTAATGCTTAGCTATCATTTTGTTTGCTTATTTTTTCTATGAATTTTAGGAGAATCTTGAGTTACTTTGTGGGAATAGTCGACTATGACCTATTTCTGAATGGCTGTAATTTCAGGATGTATGTCTTGATCAATGATTTTTTTGATAGGTAAGTACCTATTTATTACTTCCAGTGTGCCGTCCCTCTGAGCTGTGTGACCCATTAAAAGATAACTGATGCCACATAGAAGTATTCTGTTAATGGAAAGAGAAGAGTTTGCAATGATGTTCTTTAATGGTATCTCTATCCCTGTTTTAGAAACTTTTAGAATTTTGATACATCTACATTTTGAGAAGGCAAAGAGCCTGTCTTCTTTAAGTTAAGCCTTTAAATGTTGTTATAAATCTGGAGGTTTTTCCTGATCCATTTTAAAAGCAGAACCTAAATAATATGTCTAAATGCTGCTGCTTCCTACCTAAACAAAGACTAGGTAGAAAGCATTTATGATCTGGCACTACTGAAGAAAAATAAATACCCAAAGAAACCTCAGCAGCAATTGTGGTTTGTGTGATAGATTTGCAACAGTTGCAGCAATGCCAAGTAACTTAGTTTAAAAATTTCAATGTAGGTTAAGTATGTATAGTCTAATAGATCACAGCTGCTGATGTGGTTTGGTTTTTTTTTTTAATTTTAATATCTTAAATTATTTGAGATTCTCGCTGGAGTTGCATTCCTTAAGTCTCTGATAAAGCTTGTATATACATATCTAGTGAAAAATGCCTTCATTTAAAAAGTTATGCTGCCTTCCTTCTGAGGATAGGCAATATTAAGAAAAAGGTCAAGGGTTTCTGTCATAAATTGTAACTGGAAAACACATATTTTACAAGTCAGGAGTCTAATGTCTGAAAACTCCTATGTTTGTGCATTTCAGACATTTGTGTGCACGTACACACAACTGCATGAATGAATTGTCGTGCAATTAGTTAATTACAAGTTACTTCAAGCTGCTCTCCAGAAGAGAGGGTTACTTTTCAGGTATTTTCTGTATTATTTTGGTTGAAATAAAGAAATGCAATATTGAAATGATGGGAAAACAAAATAAATAACTGCATAGGTTTTATCTGTGCCTCTCTTCAGGTTTTTATTGACTTAACAATGTCATGAATTCTATTAAACTTTTTTTCCAATTTGCCTTAATGGTTGTTTTTCAATCAGGAGTTTCATAAAAACAGTTGTAGTAGCATTTTACCATATATTTATTTGGAGTATACATAATAGTTGTGTGATGTTTTATTCATCAGTTGCAACCTGTGCACAGGTGAGATTTGGAAGCCCCAATTATTTGTAAATTTGTTGCACAGTATCGCAAGCCTTGGTTGCACAGGGTCCAGACTATCTTCCTTAACTGTTGCTTATCCTTCAGCATTGCAGGTGGACCTTGAAATATTAAGCAACTTCTAGGGTTTTTATCTGCAGTCATTCAAATGACTGTCACAAGATACCAGAATTGTGATGCTGTTAGGATTGTGTGATCAATCATATTTCAGCATGCGTATGTACTGACAAATGTCTCTGCAGAAGATGAACAATGTACTTACAGTAACATGCCATAATAAGTCTTTACTGGTATTATAGCTGCATTACATACACCTTTTTCAAAAGGAATCATACTGGATTTTTAGCCTACTTACTAGCCTCTTAGCGATTTTTGTTACTGTATTTTACTGATATAAAATGCCTAGAGGAGAACATAGTACAGCTAACGTGATAGAAAAAACTAATATATACAAATGATGGGAAAATGCTTCATTTTAGGTGTATTTTTAGTAGACTCTTTTTGTTTCTTATGATTTCAAGAATTAAAACCAAATCCTGCATTACTTGGCAAAACTAAATCAACTGCAGGATGAGGCTGATCATGAACATTAAGAAACACTTAAATTAAGATCTCTGCTTAAAGTACTTCCTAAGCTAAATAGGAGTTAAATGAAAGTTGTGTGGGTGATGCTGACTTGAAACCATCACTTTTTTCAACTGGTTAGATTTATTATTTTTACCGTATGTATAAATGCATATTTTTAGGAATAAAATGTTATAGAAAAAAATCCCCTTTATTTAGCTTTTTTGCAATAACTGAGATGTGAAATTAGTATCACGGTTCACAAGACACAACCATCTCAAATCATAGAAGCAGAGAATTTATCAGCTCTGTTGTTAAATGACATTCACAACTTCAGCTTTCATTTATTTTTTTCATATTTAGACACAGTGATTTAAACAGGTATATATAATGAGCAAAGAAAAAATAATCTGCCTTTAGTGAGATGAATAGGGTAAATTCATTCTAATGCAAATGTTATGCATGCATAGTGAAAACTACTTTCTCTACAGCTTCTCATTTCTGCTACAAAATAATACATTAAGTGTAGACAAAGAAATGGGCTTTATTTTTTGTCAAAGGAAATGGAAAAAGCAAGGACTATGCAGGTGTTCTGGGTTAGAGGAGGCTGTTATTCAGCAATGGTATCACAGTAAACCAAAGCTGGAAATTAGTTAATTATTACCACTATAATTTTTTTTTTTTAAATGAGGAAACACTCTGACTTTCGGACATGGAGTTTCCTCATCTTTGAATCCAGCTGGACTATGCGCAGCCTTTCATTTGTGCGCAATCCTTGGAGAGGAACACACCGTTCCTGGAGCTGTACCAGCCAGTGGGCTCTCTCCCTCCTGAGGCCCCCACGCACCAGGCCTGGCTGAGCCGTGGGCCAGGCCAGAGCACGGTGTCTTTTGTGAGCGTGGGAGAGCAAAAGCTGCACTGGGGGCAAGGTTTCTGGTAATCCCATGTCTCTGCTTCTGCCTCAGCCCTTACCCCAGGCTCCAAAAATGCCTTTGCTGTAATTCAAAATAAAATCTAAAAAGATAAAGAACCAAAACACAATGGCCATAGTTTAAGATACTTCTGCTGTGCTTCAAAACTTGAGTTTTGAAGAGCAGTGACAAGAAGTAACATTTTCTAGCCCAATGGGAAATGTGTAGTGAGTATTCCAAGTAGGATTTTAAGCATCCTAGGTCTTTGTAGCACCAAATTTTCACAACATTTCAGCAATTTTAAAAAATTGTCTTTGATTATGTGCTAACTCTTCTGCTGTAGCAATTTTTAAATTTTCAAAATAGTTTGCATGTATACTTTATACCTACAGGTGGAGGAAACTTTGTTTCTACTCTTTCTAATTTTTTTCTGCTACAGCAGCATTCAGATTTCTGGACTATCAGAATATTTCATGACCTTGCTAACATACTTGCAAACTGCCAGCAAAGCTTCATGCAGAAAAGGTGCCTATATATTAGCAGTGAACCACAGGGGAGGCAGCCTGAACTCTGACTGTGTGGATTTGAAATAACTTGAAGAAAAAGCTGGTGAAAAAACACTCGCATTTTGGGTCATCTGTTCCTCTTTCCATACATGAGAGGGGAGAAACAGATGCCTCATCTGGGATGAAGCAAATTATTGGACTAAAAAAATATTAATAAAATGTTCCTGAGATCATGGAGCTCTTTCCTTGCTTTCCAGCACTAGGGTATAATAAAATTTATTTTGGCAAAGAAGCTCTTGACACATCTCCGTTCTGAATTCATTAATACTGCCAGGATGTGCGTTATACAATTACTGCAAGGTCTTTTTATAGCCACCCTTTTTCTCTCACGTATCACTACCGGTTTTGTGTGATATAAAACCTATACTATCCAGGTTAGCTTGCTGCTCTTTATCCACAAATGTGCTCACACACAATGCCACAGTAACAGCTTGTTTCCTACCCTGAGAGTTCAGGCTATCCCCTTCACAGCCAGAACCATACCTCATTTCAATACAGTGCTTGGCCTATTTTCTCTCACTTGAAGAACTAAGGCTTATTTGGCTGTAAAGAAAAATTTATAAAATTTAAAAATTTACAATTTAAAATGTATAATTTGAAATAAAATACTTAAAAACATAATTTATGCCCCCTTTCAATCTAACATGACAGAGCTAATTGCCAATTTGCTTATAAGTGCCACCTTAAGTTGTGAGGAACCCTTTTCACTAACAATACGGATCTGTTTCTTTTTCAGGTGTACTTCCGATAGCCACAGTGCAGTAATTCTGGATGCACGCTAGCTTGGACAAATGTATTTGTACAGTGACCATGTTAACATCTGTGTTTCAATCACCTTGCATTACTTCCACAGCATGTAACCAACCAGGAACAAAAGTGGAAATACCAGTTCCTGCTCTCACCTTTCCCAAGATTTAATTTGTAAGCCAACTTTTTTTAAAATATTCAGAGACAGGAGAGATGATGCAACAAGCCCATCATCACATGCCCACAGGGAAGACAATTATGAATGTCAAGTGCAAAACTTTCCTACCATCTGTCTGACTGAAAAGGAGAAAACAACAACAGCATAAAGGGAGGAGAGGCTACTAAAGGAATTGTATGTATTTTCCTGGAAGTGTTGCAAAGACTGGTGAATATTTTTATAAAGTAATTTAGACCTACAGTGGCACTTTTTCAATAAGTAAAATATCCGTGTCTCAAGGAGCTGAATGTTATCCGATGTTTATATTATTGAATACCAGTTTTTAAGCAGCTACTGAAAAACATGATAGAGTAAAAAGGAAAGGAAAACTGAAGGGTAATTTCATTATACTCATTTACTGATCTGTATCTCTTTTGCATTAATTCCTTCTCAAGAAAGCAATTCGGAATGGAATGGAATGGAATGGAATGGAATGGAATGGAATGGAATGGAATGGAATGGAATGGAATGGAATGGAATGGAATGGAATGGAATGGAATGGAATGGAATGGAATGGAATGGAATGGAATGGAATGGAATGGACATCACTGTGGCAGTCATGGCTGATCACAAAATGTGAGCTATGAAGAGCTCTTAACAGCTGAAATATTAGCTGGTCCAGGAAAGTAGTGAAGAGTGGTCTAACAGTTTCAGAGGAAGCTGAAATGTTATGAAGGTGTGGATGAATAGCTCAGTGGCAGTGACAGCAGAGATAAGTTGTAAATAAAAGTGGGGAAAGAAAAAGTTTGGGCATCTTGCTGAAGCAGAAGATGAAAAATATGTATCTTTTTTAGCAGCATATCATGCGATGCAGTCCGCAGACATTTATAGGTCAGAATGGTGGAATTAATTGTTCTGGAGAGCTGCAGAGAACTGCAGCTGCCAGGAGTGTGCTTTCAAGTGTAGTTACAGGCAACATTAGGAAAGGTTGCATGTATGGGACAAAAGTGGTGTGATACCAGTTGTATGAGCAGAGAAACAAAGAGGATTCTCTGTATGCAAGTGATAGTCTGCTTGTAGTTTCATGCTGTGGATATGCTATCATCCACTATGATTTGTTCTGTAATTGGAAAAATATTCAGGTATTTCTTTAGGATATGCTCACAATCCCATTTTCATGCTTAGTGAATGAATGCACAGGGTGGAGTGTGCTGGCTGCTGTTTCAGTTCCTTTGAACTTCCTGATGAGGCATCTTTTTCCTGCTGTTTCCCAACTGCCTCGCCTTGTTTTTGCTGTTTGGATCATTTTCTTCAAGCAGTCTTTTGCTGTGCTCTTTGTTTAACGTTGCCAGATCACCCAGCTTTGTACTGGCCAGAACCAGTCTGACTTGTCTCAGTAGAGGGTGGCCTCAGCTTTAGCACTTGTGTCCTTAGCTGTGTACTCTGGGGAGGATGTCGCTGGACCCACACCCCTTTTCCTGACCTGCTGGAGGATCTCTGCTCCCACCACCTCTATCCCAAACTGGGATGTGGCAATGCTGTTGTCTCACCCTCTCTCCAGACTCCACCATTTCACCTCAGTGCCAGACAGGTTCCCTCTCTGTGAGGTCATGTGGGAAGGCCCGCTCAGTTAACCCCAAGTGGCACGAGGCTGAGCAGCACAGCAGACTTTTGACTCTTATTATCTGTACCATCAATCAGCCGTAGATATAAGCACCCTATAGAGCAGTAGCATGTTATCACTCGACCCTAAAGGTTGCAAAGTGCTGGAGCCATCTAGCACCTTTTCCCATCTTCCCCACCTTTCTTTTTTTTCTTCTTCCTGAAAGGACTAGACATCATCTCTTGCTTTTCCACCTTTCAAAACTAAAGAGCTGGACAAGTTTACTTAGCCAGAACTGAACATGTGGAGATTAGAAGCTGAGGATCAGTTTTGGTTGTTGGTACTCCTGTATTCCTGTAACCACAAAACCGTGAAAGTATTGTCATCTTACAGGAAAGCAGGGTCCTGCAGGTAGCCTTTCCTATCTATTGCCTCTAGCAAAGGGGGCTGGCTTTCCTCTCATTTAATAAATAAGGTTTCTGCATTTCACACAAAGACAAGTAGTTCATACAGATCATCAGAAATTCACCCTTCAAGAGCCTGTCACAAAATGAGCACTCAGTAGTTTCACTTTATCCCTAGTTAATAGTTAGAATTCACGGGATCAAGGAGCCCATGAAAAGGAAAACCTTTCTGATCGAGATGGGTTTGTTTCCTCAGAGCTCCACACGTGTTTGGACTCAACACTATCTGGCTGAGTCACCAACCAAACGAATTAAATCTTTCTCACCACCTCCCAGATGCACAGCTTTAGGTACTTGTGTAATCTTGGGCTTCAATGCCCTTCAGAACAGGGCTCTGACAGATACCTGTCTGCTTGGGAATGCTTAGGATTTGAGGATTCTCACTATATGAATACATATATGTGCACACACAAAAAGTGAGCAAAGCTGCTTGAGCTGGAGATCAGATACATTGTCTTACCTTTCCCTTCCCCTCACCCTCAGAGTCCTTTTCTGTTCCCAAATTACAATAAGGTGCCTGAGAGGCAACCGACATGGCAATTTACTTGGACTACAAGATTAAAGGATTTCCATTTTACAAGTCATAAGTAAAGTAAAAAAATAAGTAAGCAGAGTAAATCAGTTCATTAGGCCTTTCTTTAGCCTTACTATTTATTCTTTGGCATTTATTCAATGCCATTTTGTTAAATCCCTAGCATTCTGAAAGTCTATTCACAGACAAAATGAGGGCAGCTGAAGAATGAAGGGCAGCAAGACAGGGTGATCCTTAAAATGAGAGGGTAAAGACAGCCTTTATAGTCTTGAAAGAAATATTTCAAACAAATTAATTCTACTCTTATGTAAATGAATTTTAGCATTCATAAAGTACGTACGTGTCCGTGAGCACTCTTACCCACCTGTAGATGAGAACAGCAGGTACTGGGTGGTGATGCAACAAACTTGACTAGTGACCTCTTATACAGAAATGGAGCAGTGTGTATTTTCTAACCAGATTTTAGTATTTAGGCAACCAACTCGAATCTGGCCTGGCTTTACCACTTGTTTTTGTAATATAAACTGCTGCCAGAGGGATGGCAGATGAAAGCAAAGGAGAAATACAAATCTGAATGTCCTCACTGCAGTATTTACCTCAGTGATGTTTTGTCTTTGGCACTTAAGTTACCTACAGAAACGGCTACACAAGCAAAGGGCCGTTCAGGTGCGGGCTGCCAGCTTCTGACATAATCCTCCTCCTAATTCCAGAGACACACAGATTAGGAGTTAGGTTTTGATGGAGATTTCGTGGTCATTACCAGCAACTCAACTCGGTGCACAGTTCAGCACACTGATGGGATCTAAACTGGAGATGAAGTGATCCCCCTCGTCTCTGGCAGGTGGTCCCGTTCCCTCTCCTGCCTGCTCTGATGCTTTTGACTTGGTGCACGAATACAATTCAAAGCATCCTGCATGCTCCAAACAATACGGGTTTGT